TTTTAACTAAAATGTGGCTATGAACCCTGTTACAGAAATGGTAGGGATAATTTTTCTTTAGGATTTTAGACATTGCAGCTTGGAAAGTTTAGAAGGATTTGAAGGTAAGATTTATAGACCCACGAATCTAGCAGATTCGAGAAATATGTGACAAAATGAAAAATGTCTCCATGGTATCAACACATAATGGATGTATTTTAGTTAAAGTTTGCAATGAATTTCTTACTTTTTGGAGAAGTAATGAATGAAGTTTTTGAATGTTTTACTTCTGATACTAGAATCTTAACATGTTTATCTTCCCTTTATTTTCTCTACTTTTCAGTAGACACAAGCATGGAAAATATCAAAAATGCTTCTAATCATATCACATGGGCAGCCATTATGGAAAGGGATTTTTTATTAATAAAGAAATTGGAAACTTACAATTTAAAAGATTCATCTAATATGTCTTAATGTACTATACACATAGCTGGCACTGGGCTTTTCCCACTTGATGCAATCTCTGTGGATCCTACATTCTGTTGCCTAGTGCCTTTCTAAATGCTTCCAATGCTAGCTCTAAATTTTAAAAGTTTTGCCATTTCTAGATTTTGTTGTTCGGTGTGTCATTTAATTCTAAAAATTCTACCACATCAGCTCTGTAACTGGCCTTTACTAAATATATTTCATATTTCTTCTGAATATTCATATTACTAAAATAAAATTAGCTGCTTTTTCTGTACATTCTAAATGCATTTAGTGTTTTTTAGAATAACAGAAATCCTTAATTAAAATCCTTACTTCTAAAATGAAAGGGAAACATGTTGAAGAAACTGAATACATAAAGAAAATTATTCTTCAAAGATATGTGCAGCTATTATTATGTAAATTATCCAATTATTTATGATTTCAGCCTTTACTATAATTTTCTATTTCCTCATATGATAGATTTACTGAGCCAGATTAAATTAATATTAAATTGTATAATCTTTGACCACTAGTCCACATTATTAGTTTGAATTTGACTGTTCTTGTTTAATTATGTCATTGTGGGATGTAATTGATTTTTTTAGCATCAGAACGTACCTTTGTGTTCTAAGTTCTTTTTAAATAAGAAGCTGATTCAAACCTTTGCCTGATATTGTAGTTAATTTCAGACATAGCGATAATGAGCTTCACGTCTGTCGGGGATTTTGAACAATTTAACTTTTAGCAGATCAATTAAACTGTCATAGGTACATTGTGAAGAGGTTGACAAGATAGGAGATAAAACATGCAGAAACTAGAGAGAGCATTGGTTTGCATATTGAGACAAATCTCTAATTGTTAGAAAAGATGCTTAAAGAGAAGGAAATCGATATAAACTAGCCAAAATGTCGTTTAAGAATCTGTGTCATAAATTACATATCTTTTAAACTGTGAAATTTTATTAGATTTTGATTTTAATATGGCTTTTTTTAACAAATATTGTTAAAAAATATAAAATTTAATAGTGATCATGTAAATTCATGATGACTAAGGTTATCAAACTACCTAATGTAATTATTTATAACTAACTGCTTACCCTTAAAAATTATCTCTACATATTAGAATATTAACTCTACATATGAGTATTAATGAAAGGCAATAAGACATTCACTCTTATTGGCTTCCATTAATACTCACTGTGTCACAAGATAAAATATAAAAACGAAAAAATTCAAGTTAAACTTATTCTTTGTATCTACTGATACTTAAAATAATACAAAACAACTTATCACCTCTGGTGCTTTAATGGCTTATTGGAGCCTTAAAGTATATTAAGTGGGTTACAACCTCCTGAACTGTACACGAAGCTACGACACTAACTGCATCAAACAGAGCCTAAATAACTTTCAACACTTGCCAACCGTGCCTACATCAGGCCTTTCAGGTTTGTTCTAATCAGCAGGTCTTTCTCTAAACAAGCAGCAGCGGTGACAACATTCATTCTTTTATTATGAATGATGCTGATTATGATCTTATTTCTCATTTTAACGTATGCCGTTTGACATAAGATCTACCTGCTATTTACTAAACCTCTAGACTGACCAAGTGTGGGACAAAATGAGACATAAAAAAAAAATTAACATAAAGCTAACTGTTAGTAAAACGTAAATGTCACTTATCTTCTTTCAAATATTACCAACTATTATAAGTGTAAAATATTTAATGCTATTTGATAAATTGCATAAAGTTTATTTTATTCTCAAACTCATTAACAATTATGTTAATTAATTCATGTTTAGTAATAATGCATACTACTTAGGGATCTATTTTATTTTTAGGATGGTATTACAAAAGTGAAATTCAGGCATAGATAATATTTTCAATTGAATTTATTCAGTTCCCATTTGCTCATAGGTCCTTAATTTTTTTCACTAATGGTCCTTAAAAGTCCTTAAAAGTACTTAATTTCGGTGTGCAGAAATGTGTACGAACCCTGCCTATGGCTTTGCGCCATAAAACCATACCAATAAATTTAAAATTCTAAAAATTTTTATTATTATTTATGTTTTCTATAATTTTTCATATTAAGCTACCATCTGTTTATGTGAATTTTAGGTGCATTTCTATGAAACTCTTTGTTGCAAATTTCTTTTAAACAGTATTTGTACAAATTCATATTTGTTTATGCACTCATTCATGTAGGCTAATATTTTCACCACACCTGCCAAGGGATAGTTTGTATGACAAAGAAAAATTCAGGTTTGACTTTAGTGAATTTAAGTATTTATATACCCATTTTCAGAAATTTAAAAATCTCTTAATTTGAAATTTATTTTGTGATGGAGGATTAATAGTATTTTGGATAGTGGATAATTTTAACGGTTTAGAAATTTTGGTTGTTCTTCCTTTTTTTAATGTGTTGATTATTAAATGTGTAACTTAATGATTTTTTATTCAAAATTTTCCATTTGAAATCTGAAATTTATGATGCTATATTAAAAAAAGGAAATACTTGATTTCAAATTTCATGACAGTTGAATGGGCAATTTTTCTTAAAATTTTATATCTTACTAAATAACTAGCCATACTGTCAAATTTCATATGTTATAATTCAATTTTCCTCCACATCTGAAAGCTTTCTTTAAGTAATTTGTATATATTAAATGTCAAGATGTTTTATGTGGAATATATTTAGATGTAATTGAATATTATGTATTTGGTTTTCCAAGATAAACTTGGACTTTTTTTATTGATATGATCAGAGTTTAATTAGAACTGAATAGATTGACATATATCAATTAAAGTTGCTGTTATCTACAAAAAGTATTTTCTGTTTTTACCTTAACTTTTAACAATTGAAAGTTCATATTTAGGAGAAAAAAATCATAGAACAGTCTTTGTAAGACTTTGAATTTTAATTCTCTTAATTGAAAATGAACAGAGCTTCCTTTCTGGTCCTTAATAAATATTTTATTAACACACATAATAGGGATTTTGCAAGAATAAAGCATTTCATGCAGTCGTGAAGGGAACAAGATTTCATTTTTTTCCCTGCTGTTAGATAATTTTCCTTATTTATCATATCTTGTAATCTTCAATATCGAATTATTTATATTATGGATTTTTTTTAGATTTTAAAGTGTCAGTTTCATATTTAGCACAATTAATATATATGATACCTCACTTGGAGTAAGCAAGTTATTTCAATACTGTAAATACCTTCCATAGCATTCTTTTTCCCTCTGAGTTAAAAAAAGAGGGATGAAAGTTATTTACTGACATATATTACTTAAACTAACATTGTGTGAAGTATTCAGTTTTATAAATTTATGTTTAAGATATGAATTATTATTATTTCTAATACAGTCAAAAGTCTTTAATCCGGACCTCAAAGCTACAAACTTTCTGTGCATGCGTCAACGTATAATGCGTTAACGCATGCGCATAATACCTTGATGTATTCACGTAATACGTTTACGCATGCGTGTTTAATGCATAACGTGCGGTATAAGCTAAGCTAAAATTATCTAATTATCTATTTTAGTTAATGTTACAGATTACGTTGTTCCTTAATCTTCTAATTGGATCCGGCTTATTATTTTTTGCAGACTTGTAGAGCAATTTTATAAAAGTAAGTTGGAACTTGACTTTTATAAAAGTACTAATAATTTATTACTTTTCTATTATGTCAAAAAGAATTTCCAATTCTGGTATTACCAAAGGATCTACAAAGCGAAAGCATGTTTCGATGTCCATCAGACAAAAAGTGGAATTGCTGCAAAAAATGGATAAAGGCATATCCTTTGATTCTCTAACCATTCCGAAATCTGTTTATCAATTTCATGCTGCTCTGCGGGGGTAGGGGGTAACGTCGCAGAGCAGCATGGGGGGAGGGCGCGGCACGCAATGAACTGGAAGTTGATCTGTCAGCACTATCCTTATCTTCAGAGCATGTTTTTATTTTATTCGGCTTATAATTCCTTACTAAATGTAGTATTTCATCTCGATGTACTCCGTCTTTGATATGATTTAAATCAAATTCCTCGTCATTATAAATATCACAAATACACATCAAATAGTTTTCCAGTTGCAATTTTCTAATTTCGACTATGCGTAATGTATGCTTCACGCATGCGCGCGTTAAAAGAAATGTTTAATAAAGGAAACAAATAAATATTAAGCTTTTTTTTTTTTTTTTAAATTTTGATACCCTTTAGATCATAATTGCTTTTTATTTCATAAATTATGGTTTTATATTTTTTATTTTATAATTTCTGCATGCCATCTTACCAGATTTATACTGATGATCTATAATCCGGAAAAACCGATAATCCTGAATCGCCGAAGTCCCGACGAGTCCGTCCGGATTAAAGACTTTTGACTGTATATTATAATTCATGAGTTATTTATTGTTCTTGTAATTCTTTTAAAATATGAATAAGATATTAAAATGCATTTATATATTTTATGTAATATTTGAAAGATGTATCTCATATGCCTTATTTCTGTGATTTAAGAAGCTTATTTTTTTATGTTTTGAAAATAAATCTTAGGCAATATGTTATCGTTGCTTTTAAAGAGGAGCCATTTGAAATATGGGATCTTCGTCAACTTGTTCTTCTACGAGTCATGCCTAAAAATTTCCCAATAGTAACTGCTCTTGTAAGTTGATATCCAGTTTATAGTTTAATATGCTGAAATCATTATAAAACCAAATTGGAATTATTTTGGTTAGACTTCAGTGAAATAAACTGTGCATTTTATAAAATTTCTATGAAACATTTGAGTAATAAAGTATCCATGACAATATACCCGCTTTAAAAGTGTATTTTTCACAAAAAGATGATTTGTAGTAAGGATTTTTTTTAGCGTTCTGCATCATGGGAGAATATTGATAAGCATTTATACATGAATTAGGAGATCAAAATACTTGTAAGCATTGTATTACTTAATAATTTATTTTTCATGTACGAGTTCCATTTATAGCTTTGCATTAATGCAACATTCTAGTTAACTTCAATTCCATTTTAAACCTTAATTATATAAATATGTAATTGGAAGATGTAATTAAAATAACATTTAAAATTTTTTATGCACCTAAGTTCATATTTGATATTGGTTTTGTTCATTTTTAAAACCATTTACAAAAATAATTTAAAATAAAAATAATTGTTATAGAATCCAAAGAAGTATTTTGAAGTATTAGATAAAAATATATTGTGCAGTTGATATTACATTTTTCATGAAATTACAGATCTGTTATGAATATAATAAGTTAATTTTGTTTTGGCATTATTGTTAATGAGTGTTGTCTGAATACATATACAGTACAAAGTCCAAAATCCAGATGTCCAGTAACAAGAATGGTCTAAAACCCAGATTAAAAGAATCACCAGCAATCTCTTAGGATTTTTTTTTAATGCTTTAAGCTTGTGCATTCGATATTTTTCATAATAAAACATGGGGAGAGTCCGAATTCTTTTTGTCACTGACATCAATGTAGTGAATTGTTATTTATTATTTTTTGCTTTCACGACCACATGATTATCAACATACTGTAGCTTTAAGAATTACTCATGCAGTGATGTCTAAACTTTTTTATTAGTTTTTTATTTTTAAATTTAGTAATTTAATTTATTTTTAATATTAGTAATACATTTTATGTTCACATTACGCTTGTCAAAGATTACAGACTTTAGCTAATTCAACTGCAAAGTGTAGAGTGTATTGACAAGAAGTAATTTAACAAATTTCTTCCCATATGCAAAAAATGCATTTCGTAAATGATACTCATAGGCCAAAAGGTTACATTTAGTGTTGTTCGAATTGAAAATAACTGATTTGTTATTAAGCCCAGGATTGGTGTTAAAGCTGGTGTGGCTGCACCAGGTGTCAGAATCCAAGGGAGGCAAAATGTGTAGAATTTAGAGAAGTACCAAGTAATAAATCTAAAGGATAGCAAAATCTTTAAAATTTAGGGGGCCTTGGCAGCAGAATTTCAGTCCCGCAGAGACTGTAAAATGTCTAGCTTTAGCCTAAGTATGTGTGGTAATTTATTTATTTGGAACTCATGTAGGCATGTGCAGGAAATTTTTGTAATTATAATAAATAACTAATGTAATTCAGGCTTAATTTTCTCAGGTGCGGCAGAAGCAAGACAAAATTTAAAGGAACAACATGTCTTTAATCGTCAATCTCACGATACATCACCAATAGTGCATTCTCTACGCTAGCTAAGCTTTATGATGATAGCCATCAATTTCAAGATTTTCAGATATTTCAAATAAATTGGAAAATTTTTCAATTAATGGAATTTTTTAAGAAATGTGGAGAAATAGTAATAAATGAAGATAATATAGCAGAAGTTTTTCATTACAATGAGGGAGCTTCAATTGTTGATGATTTCTAAATGTCATATTTTCTAAGCAACACCTACTTCAAATGAAGCATTGAAAATTAATGTATATATACAAAAAAAGCTTTATTAAAGACTTATCAGAGCAAGAACTACCACATTCCTGTCAAGCATAACATTCTCTACTGGTAACAGATACATTAACTCAGTCTTTTATAATCAAGAAAAACATTAATGTTACCAGATAATAAGACTTGAATTTATACTTTTATAAACAAACACTATCAATTGTAAATCTATTATTATTACCAATTCATCAGTCAACTAATGGACAGCAAAATGTGAAGTATGGCTCTAAATCCAGAAAGTATTGCTATTGAGAATGAAGAAAGTGAGAGAGAAGGTACTGAGAATGAAAAAATTTCAATTGACAATTTAATGGGAATCCTTGATGTGGCAATTACAGGACTTGAATATTGCAACTTTGTAACTGAACAATAAATTACATCTGTAGAGAAATACAACTGAAGAGAAAGTATTAGCATAACAAATTAAGGAAATTAAAGAACTTAACATTGAAAGCAAACAAATAAATATTGAACTTTTTTGTACTTTTTTTTTGGTAAGTTTTATTTTCTGTAAGGTTATAAATGCTTCATTGTTTCATATTTTTAGTTTTACAATTTCTATTTGTCATCTTATGAGATTTAAAATCATGATCTAATATGCAGAAAAATCTCCAGTCCGGAATTGCTGAACTCTGGACAAGTCTGGATCTTAGATTTTGTGCTGTATAAAATATTTTTAGCTTATTTTTTGCCAAGGAAGTTACACAATTTCAATTATTGAATTCTATTGTTATTTGGAAATCAAGTTAAAATTTTTTTAATAGACCAACAGAAGAGATAATTAAATGAAATTTTTTTTAAGGAATGGTCACCAGGATATTTTAAAAAAACTCATTCATCATTAGACTTGTCATTCGACAAAGGAAAAGATTCAAACACTCCGACATTAGATTGTCCATCTGAAAATTTTATGTGAGTTTTCTTTCATATTTGTAAAAATTTATATATGTTTTATTTTATGGTATAATGAGTTTTTAAATTGGTTTCTTGAATAGTTTATTTAATGTATTTACTTCTGAGTTTATTTTAATTGCCTGATATCTTTCAGTACTCCCAAAACTGTTACTTATACAAAAGAACATTTAGTGTTTACTGACACCAATGGCCAACTGTATCATTTTTCCATTGAAGGCAATGTTGTTAAGCATGCTTCTGTGATGCCTGCTGATGTAAGTTTTCTGTTTGAAAATACTTTAAATGTTTTTAATGGGTTAACAACTCTGTTTGTAGAACTTTTAATATCCTATCTGAAAGGATCACAACCTAATTGTGTTTTTCGAAATCTGGTAACTGAGCTGTCTTTTCCTTCATACCAGATAGCTACTTTACTATAGTACCAGTTGAGATATTTTATTTTTTTACTTATTATGTGAGGAATGTTCAAGTGTAATCAATAATTTTTATGCTGCATTCTTATAAAGAATTTAACATAATCGTGACTCAGTTGGAAACATATACATGTTTAAACTTATCAGTAGTAGTGCTCATGTCTTCTATCATTCTTGTTAGTTGTAATTAATGTATCTGAGTAGGAGATTCACATCAATGCTGTGCAGCGAATTATCATTAGATTTTTTTACTAATAAAAATGTCATTCTGTCCCAGATTTATAAGATTCAAAAATCAGTTTGGAGGTGAGTGTCTACCTAAATATCTTATTATTTTTCAGTTTAGTTAAGCACTTTTAAGAGAAAGAAATTCAGGTCTAATATGAGGTTACTGATGCTGTGGAAAAATGGGCTAATGTGCAGTCACAAATTAACATTTGACATTTGAATTAACATTTAACTTTTATTTTTCTGGAATTAAGAAAGTTCCTGGGTGAAGAATAAGTGCATGGCAGTGGCAGGTGACAACAAATTAAAATAGTATGTTAGTTGTTTCATTCCATTTAGCAAATGAAACTTACAGACGAATTTCTCTCCATGTTTGATTGCCCTTTGCATCTTATGTCAATACAAATTACACAATTAAAAAAATGGAATATTTTTATTTATGTAAAATAAAGCGGGAAATTTTATTTACTTAAAATAAAATAAGACTTTATCTGACATAATTAAATAATTAAATGATTTTAAATTTGATGAAACATGTAACTAATTTTTATTTCAATGAAAAATAAAAGAATGAAAATAATTGTGATTTCAAATTGGAAGAGAAACATACTAGACTAAAATTTTAAATTAATTAAAAAAGCAATTTTAGTTTCTCATAGATTTAAAATTAATTCTCATTGATTTCAAGGGTAATCACCTACAGGTCCCTTTCATTCAAAAAGAGGGAAAAAAACTGCTGGGGGGGGGAATTTAGTAATAATTTTTATTGCTTCTGAAGAAGAGGGAACTCTATCTGATAACCTTCATTAGGAGTTCCTCCCCCCCCAAATCTATGCCTAACTAAAGGTTTTTTTTTTTTTTTTTTTTTTTTTTTTTGCCTAGTTTAAAATTAATTGAGATTTGTATAGACCTTACAACTAAAGGTATAAATGTACTTTAATTATACTAAGGTATAATTATACTAAATTATACTAAAATTGAAGGGAAAAAAAAGAAATTATTTTTTAAATTAAAATAAAACATTTTGTTTATTCAAGTAAAATTAAATTAGAGTATTGTTCTACAATTGACCTAAAGTAATAAAATTGATATTAATTTTTTTCATGTGCAGTTTGCAGTATTTATATTTTATTGAAACAAAATTCAAAAAGAGACCTATGTTTTGCTTAATATCAAAATCACATAATCATTTAATAACAATTGAACATTGCTAGCTAGTCTCAAAGTTGGGCACTTCCATCTAAATTAATTTAATAATATCTTTAAAATTGTATACATGTTTTTTTCTCTATTATTTAAATCAAAGAATAAATTAACAACATCCTTAATTTTATTTGGCTTAGGGGGGAGGAAAGTAAATCATCTGAAATATTCTAGTTTCAAACATTTAGAGTTGAGATAATTTGAGATCTAGGACTGATATATACAGTAGCACACATGTGGTTTTTGAAACTTGTATGCTTCAGTTTTATTGGCAAATATCAGTTAATATTAAGAAACTGACTTTTGATTCACATATACTATTGATCATGTATTTTAAAAACTACTTGTGAAAAGAGTTATTTAAAAATTTTTTTTTGGGGGGAAGAAAATTTAAAAAATGAATTTGCATCAGTATTTGAACACATTGAATAAAATTTTATATTTAATAAATACAGGAACATTACTAGACATTCAATATTTCATTGGATGTCCTTTAGTTAAAATTAAATTTTTCGTACACTTTGGATGAATTCAGCTAATTTTTCATGTAAAAATATTCCATTTGTCTCATTCCTATGTAAGAATTGCTTTTATTGGAGCTTTCATAAGAGTATCATATTTCATAATTTTTTATCCTACTCACTCCATATGTGTTCTGCTGGATTTAAACTCGAAGAATATGGAGAAGTTTAGAAAACTTCAGGACACTTCTATAATAACCACAATCAGACATTTAGGGCTTATGTTTGAGATCTTTATTTTGATAAAACTTGAATGCATTTTAAATTCCAAATTTTCTTGCAGATGCTTCCAGGTTTTCATTAAAAATATTTATATACTTATACTAATCCATGTTATTTTTTATAAATACCAAATTTCTTATTTTAAAGGCATTGAAACATCCCCAGACTATAGGGTATGCCAAAAAGAATCATCCGATTTAAAAAAAAAATATCATAACTATTCGCCTTTTAAATTCTTTTGATCGAGTTATGGGCAGAAAAAGGGAAATCTAAATTTTCATACAGATGTCGACAGTTAGCATTAATACTCTTCCTTTGCCGACCGTTTCAGTGTTCATCTAGATAGCAGCTGTGCAATGTTTTGTGTTCTATGCTTCACGAAGTGTGAGTTCATAACAACTGTTCAGTATGATTTTCATCGCCAATGCCCTGGCGTTTGACAACGTATCACTAAAAGCATTAGGCAGTGATATAAACAATTTCAAGACACAAATTGTCTGTGTAAAAGAAAATCTCTTGTTCGTCCCCCACATGTCAGATGAAAATGTGAAGCACATCCAGCAGAATTTTTGCATGTTGTCCATAGAAATCCACTTGCCATGCCAGTAGAGGAAACTTGACATTCCTTCAGCATCCATTTGGTGTGTTTTGTGGCGATGTTTGTTTTTCAAACCATACAAGATTCAATTGCTACAAGCTGTTCGTACAGGTGACAAAGAATCACTTGTGAAATTTTGTAAATTCATCTTTCGAAATGTGTCATCCTTCAGAGTGTTTAACACTCTTCATGTTTAGTGATGAACTTACTGCCACAATGTTAGAATATAAGGTATGGAGCAGCAACATCAAATTATGTAGCGTGAGAGAGACTCGCCAAAAATTAATGTTTTTTTGTGCTATTTTTTGGGAAAAGGCATATGCATTTCAAATGAAGTGACTTTTTTTTTAAACACTCTGTATTATGCCTTTACCCCTGTGTGTATTATTAGGCAATAAGTTTTATAAATTCAGTTTTTAATTCGAATTTCACCTCATATTAATTCATCTATCAGACTCAAATATATTTAATTTTGACTTTTTTTGCAAATATAACATTGTTCCAATATGATAAAACTTTTCTTATTGTAGATTTTGCAAACAACAGTTGTATTTCCCGCATTTTCAGGTTGATGAAAATTTTTTTTCCTTGCAGATTGTCCATTGTATCCATGATTTTTATAAATGCTTAAGGATTAACTTTTATTGCAAACCATTGTTCTAAATCTGCTGAACATTTTATAGTACTAATATTTTATGTCTTGCTTGATTTTTTTCATGAATAAATCTTGGGTTTTAATTTGGAACTTCCTTGCATTTTCAACGCTTCCATGCAACTTTTACTACTTTATTACCTCAAAGATAATGAAATGCTTTACATGAAGGAATATTTTGAATACTTCTACTGTGCTTTAAAAAAAAAAAAAAAATAGAAATAGAACTATCAATATATTTAGTTAAGCAAGTAAAAGTTTCCAATTTCAGAAATTCTTGGAATATATTTTCTTTAAAAATAAAAAATTATAACATAAACATTGTCTAATAAAATGTTTCAACAAAAGTTTTGAGTGTGTGAATTATTATGTGAGTTAGGAAAAAAACATTAGGCTCTGCTCTTATATACGTCCTAAGATGACCAAATATGGCGATATGTATTCTGCACTGGTTTTTGGTGCGATTGTGTGCTGTGGTTTTGGGGATGATGTTGTTCATATGGCAATCCTTTTGACGTTGAAACTTAATTCTTTTGCAGTGGTTTAATTGCTCATTGGTTTTTGTCGTGCATGTTTTGAAATGGCCTATGTTGCAATGATAGACATGGTGGCAAGATTTCAGTCGCGTATTTTAGATTGTGTGGAAAGTAAATTTAGTATTAAAAGATACAATGTTGGAGTTGTTAACGAGTCTTTTGTTCACGGATGTGTTTATGTGGATTGAAGGTTAAACAGGATGTGTACATGATATTCTTTGAAATTTATTGTTGCTATGTCAATTTATTAAAGCGAGGTGTGCGTAGTTCGTAGATTCCTTCATTGCCTAAATTGTGCAATCTGTTGATGTCTTTTTTTAAGTTAAAACATATCGCTGTGTACATGGATTCTTGTCAAATATTTTTGGTTAGAAACTTTACGTTTTTGCTATCTAAATTTTTTGTTTTTGTTTCAGATTTTTAGCTTAAATTGCGTTTTTTGGAGATATTTTAGGTTTAAAGTTTGAATGTTGGCAAAAATTTAGATAGTAATATGGCATCATGGAGTTTCTCGCCAAAAATATTTGGCAAGAAATTTGTCGCCAAACAAGGGCATATATAAGAATAGTTCCAAAAAGGATTTTATTACAAAGAATATTTTGATGATATTTATTTTATAACAAGCAAGGCTTAAAATATAGAAAAAATAATATATTAGAAAAAAATTGAAATCTGTATTTCAATATTTATTACAAGATCAATGCAACATAAATGTGAGCCACTGTTTACAGAAAGAGAATTTAAGCTTGCTTACATTAGTGGAAACATATATGTATATATATATACATACATGTGTTTTGTATTGTATCTATTCAACTAATGGTTCTTAAAATAGATTCTCAGATGTAAAAAGGCATTTCTTTCATTTCAAAATGTATTACATATTTTTTCCTTTAGAATCTTCTTTGATTTTTCTTAATATGAATCAATAATTTGAACAGTTTTTCCTTATGTATTTGCCTTAGAAAAGAGATTGCATTGAAAGGGTTGCATTCACTTTTTTTTGTAATGTTATTAATATAAAGCAGTGTTTTAGAATTAAATTTTATCATGAAAGTCTTTTTATATGTTGTGTAATATAACAGCATGCCTTAAGTATTTTTAATGCAGCACATGGGGGGGGGAGAGCAAGTCAATGGGGCACTTTAACGACTCTATAATTTTTGTGTATAATTGCATTACATTTATTATTACAGAATGTGTAATTTCTATCTGACAGTCATTATTTGACTTAGAAAAAATTAAAGATTAATTTTTTTTTATTATTAAACAGATTTAATGTTATATTTTTCCAAAGATGTGTCAAACATATACCTTTGTTTTTGTTTTCAAAGATGTGTAAAATATATACCTTTGTTTAATTTCATCAGACTTCATTTTTTAGCAAGCTGTAGGTAGTGTGACCTGCATTGCAAGAAAAGGAGATTATATAGTCTTAGGGGATGTTGACGGGAATTTAAATATTTGGTGTTTAAAGGGAAATATTTCAAAGTAAGTGTGTTTGATTTTAGAAGACTCGAATATAAAATTTCAATTTCAGGAAATTTATTTCATTTTTACAAAATATATTTCTTTATAATATGTATTGAATAAATTAAAAACATTTTAAAGAGTTTCTATTAATTTTAATATCATTATTTTTTTTCCACTGACTGATGCCATAAGTAGTGTCAAATTTTACGTTCCCTTGATTCATTAAAAATATTCAGTAAATATCATTAAAAAAATAGAAGACAATGTTGGTTTGTTAATTTTTTCTTTTAGATCAGTTTTCTCACCGTTGAATGCTGAATCTTTTTTATATAGATTCAGCATTCAATAATGAGATTATATTATTCTTGTAATAAAGAAACACATCTTATATGTTTATATCAAATTATTATATATATGAAATATTAGAAGTCATGGAATGCTATCAGAATGCTGCCAGGAATGAGAACAAAAATAAGTAAATAGAATAACAAACGAAATAATGAGTAATTACATAAAATATAAAAGGATAAAATAATAATAATTTATGTTAAAAATAATGTAAATGATGAATTAATGTATTCATCAGACATGTAATTTCTATCTATATGTAATTATCTATTTCATAAAAACACAAAATGAGCAAATTAATAATAAATTAAACAGTTAAAAAAATTTAAGTAAAATAGTTGAACAAATGAAGATAAGCAGGTTGATAGTAACCAAACCTGATGCAGAGGATAAAGTTAATATCCCCCCTACGAATGGATTGATACTTACTTTTCATGTATTTTGCATTCATGCATTCTCGTGATCAATTTGGGAATAGCCAAACTAATCAGTCATTTAGCCGTCTCATCATCGAGAACATTGTACAAGGTACACCCCTAGAGATGGTCTGATATTACACTAATGAGAAGGCAAAATGACAATAAATAATCAAGCCTTACACAAGATTCAAACCGTCATTCTGCAGTTCAGACTAGCAGTCAGCCTCTATACTAACTCCTATACATTCTAGGAAGATGATGAAACAAAAGTAAATATTTTTTATTGGTATTTTTCATACTGAGCTACAAGTAGATTTTTATTTTGGCTTCTAATCAGTTTAAAGACATTATGAATGAATGAATATGGCCCATAAAAATTGAGTTTATATTTTGACAAGAAAGTTTTCTTCCTTATCGGCTGAAGTTTTTCCATGCACTTTATTCTTCCCATGGAAACTGAGTTGTTTATTCTCTATTAAGAACCAATATCAGTTTTATTTAGTGCTTAATACAAATATGCAGCATTAATATTTTCTGTTAATTGTTTTTATATGTTATTATTGCAATTTAGTTGTGTTTGGCCTATTCTGAGCTCCAATATGCTTTCTCTATAATTGTAATTTTACTTAAAACCTTGGAAAGGGCTGATGTATAAAGCCTTGATCACAGCAAAATTTTTTGTCTTAAAATATGTACTAATAACGTATTGAAGTTGTTAAAATCTTAACTTATAACTGATTATGACAAGATATGTGTGTGTGTATGTAATTATAAACTATTAACTAGTAAGTTTTTTTTTTCATTATGTAATATAAATGTGTCTCATGTTCTTAAGTTTAATTATTTTTAAGTAATTTTTATTTTTTAGAGAATGATCCAAATATTAGCTGAATTAAGCCCTTTGAAAGCCCTGCTCTTGTATTTTTAGTCATGCTTCAAATATCTAAAAAAGAAGCTTCAATTAACATTTCAAGTTTAATACATTATCATATAGAACTTTGAAAGAAGCCTCAAAATAAAAATAAGCCAACTTTAGAAGTACCATACAGTGTATACTTTGAAGCAGAAAACTCACATTTGCATAATAATAATGTTTAAAATAAATTGGCTCAAATTCAGAGCCAAAGCAAAGCTCACTCCCTTTTTGCTGCATGTGATAAGGAGACTGCATGCAGGTTAGGAAAATTTCATGTCTTCTTTCACACTGTGGAAGGAAAGGAGGGAAAAGTTTTTTCCTTTTTCCCATATAAAATACACTATTTTTTTGGTAATAATATTGGTATTTGAACAGCATGCAGAGGCAAAATCAGGGAAGACATCACAGAATGCAACTCCATTTATTTTAAATTTGTGATCTTAAATAAAATCGATGACTAAATGAAGATTTTATTGTATTATTGATTTTAAAAATCATAATTTTTATTTCACACTTTCAAATTTCTGGGCATGTGCCATGTACCCAACAAATTTGTAGTTTTTATATCAATGCAATTTGAAATAAATTTCCAAGCAACAATCAGAATAGTTCAGTATTTAAGAATGATAATTTGCCCTTTGTTTTTAATTGAATCTTGTACACAGTATAATTTCAAAATTCTCATTTTAAAACTTTCATTTATAAGTTGACAAACAGACCTTGTAATAAGAAATACACTAGATTTTTGTATTTTTATGAGATATAACTTTGCAGCGGCAGCGCCAAACAGGCGATACAGACTCAAAAACTCTAGAGTAAACCACAATTGGTGAAACAGCAAACAAAGACAATAAACCTGTTTGGCAACCCTACAGGCTGACAGGAAGAGACGAGTTTACCCCAACAGCTCTGAGAACGACTTCAGTCTGTGTGCATCTGTGTAACTATTTCAGTCTTGTGCTTTCAACGTGATATGTAAACTTTGACACCCATGTCTGTATTGGGACTATACTCTTTCTTGAACCATTAATTATGTATCTATGTTACTTCTCCTTATTAAATCTCATTCTTAATGGTATATGCCTATCTCAATTACGATTGCTGCTTTTCTAAGTAATGTTATCTATACTTTTGTAGGCACGTGTTACTCGCGCGTACCTCAACTTCATTAGGATTTACACACTTGTTAGCAAAGAATATAAACTTTAAATTCCTGACTTTTATATTTTCATACAAGATTTTTAAGGGAAATTTTTATTTACCATCCAGGTTACATTATTGACTTTCCAAATAGCTTTTATTTTTTAATCTTAAAATTTTCCAGTTTAAAACTAGTGGCAGTAAAGATTGTACATATTTATAATTTAGTTTACATTATTCTAATTGTTCTCGAATTTATATCATCTGCTTTTCTTAAATATAAATATTAGTTAAGTTAAGCTAATAAAATCCATTAATAGTAATATTCTCTTCATTTTCCTTTTCAATAAATGAGAAAATGTTTTTTCTCTTCAGAAAATTTTCGTAATTTATTTATTCAAAAAAAAATTTTTTTTTATCAAAACCTTTATATTTAATGCTGAACTGTGTTAAGTGTCAAATGTGATTTTCTTTTGCATATATTACAGTATCATTTATAGATGACGTACATAAAGTGTCCCAAAACTTCCATAGGTTCTATATTTAAGTTTTAAATTAATAATTAAAGAAACCTTTCACACTGAAAACAATTAAGTTTGCTAATTAAACACGTATGAGGTTTGGGCTTTGGTAAATTTTTTTATAAGATTTGTGAGTACTTCCTGATTTACCCCTTTCCCCCACTGAAGTGTTGCAAATTTGCTGTTGATATTGAAAAGAAAGGTTTGTTTGAATATCTTTATGCCTATTTCAATGATACATCAAATGACACTTATTTTTTTGTATTCATCTTTTTCTAAACAAGGCATGCACACCTTTTTATTTATTATTATTATTATTATTGCTGTATATACAGCGATTTCATACATTTGCTCCTTAAAAAAATCAAAGAACAGTGAATTGGACTGATCAGAGAACTGAATCTTGGCACCAGAATCCTAAACTGGGAAGAAAATAGAGGCATGTTATGCTGTATTACTTCATGAGGCATATTACTTCGTATGCATGCAGAAAGCTAAACATGAGATTTTGTCACAAATGACGTAAACTACAGTATGTGGTTCACTGCTATGCTAAAATGCTGATATTCCCATAGGAAGGATCATTATCTGCAGTCACACTGGTGAAAATGTCTGGAGAAGTGGAAATCTGTATAGGGAATGTAAATCTGTAATCTGGGGATGCTATGTCCATACCTGGGTTGCCACATAAATACTTTTTGGCAATACTGTATATCCATATAAATACAAGTTCTTGGCATGGCATGTTACCTCATCAATATTTTTATTATGGCTTTTTGGGTGGGGATGTGGATAATCAGAAAGTAACCATTCGTGTTTCACACAATTTGTTCAGAGATAATTTTATTATTATTTATAAAATTCTAGACCATTTTTGCTCGTTTTTTTTTTTTTTTTTAGATTAATACCATAATAAAACAATATATATCAAATGCTTGCAGTGAATGATGAATATTTTAGCAAATGGCTTTGCTTAATTTCAGGTTTTTTTAAAGAACTTTATGGAATGAAATGCTAAATGAAGTATAATGTAGATGATTTCTTTGCATGTTTAGGTATTTCAGATTTTAAAACATTTCTAATAAAAGTAAAATATTATTTGCATATTGTCAGTTATATGTATTTTTCTTCTAGAGGTATTTCTACACACCGTGGATGGATAAAGAAAATTCGTTTTGGTCCTGGTAAGGGCAATATGAAAATCCTGGTTTTGTTCAATGATGGCGTTGATGTCTGGGATGCAAAAGATGTTAGTTGTTCATTTGTATTCTTACCTTTTGCTATTGTGATATTCATTGCTATAAAGACTACTTATTTATTCTTCATCAATATTTATATAGCATACATGTCAAAACTGCATGTGCAAATGTACATGTTACAGTCATAAAAATTTCCACTTTTTTAAATTATAATATTTATTATTTTTTGAGAATTGCAGATTTTCAATTTTCAATCAAATTAAAGTTTATGATGTTTGAAGTAACAGACATAGTTTAAGTAATAATGGTTTGAACTTGTTGTCATATCAGATAACATTTAGTTACTTTGTTGTCAATATCCCTGACTGAAATTTTATGTAACCACATAGAATGTCATTTTAAAAGGTTTTAGGCAAAATTTAAAGGTAGGCCAAGATTTTTTTTTTTTTTAATTGGATAGGAACATCAGTTGAAAATACCAAATGAGTATAAAGAAACTTTTAAACTTGGAAATGAATTTTAAATAGTGATTTTTATGAATGTATAAAATCTAAAGAAATTCTAAGGGAATTATTATCCATAAAAAATGTACAAGAGTGGAACTAACACAAGAATTCCAGCCACCTATATCATCTTCAGAGTAGATCTACTATAAAAGGTATTCAATTCACTTTCATTATGTTGAATAATTTGTTGTTCTTATTGTATGATTCCTATTTATTTCCTCATACAAGCTTGTATAACATACATTGTGGGCTTTCAAATAACCTAAATTAATTTTTGATAAAATGTTCCTGATATGGGTATTTGCAGTAAAATTTCCAGGGGATGAAATGAAGACAAAAAATTACCTTAACTCATTAGCCGCTGGTGTTGCGTTCGCGCAACGGTCAAAATAAATGTGTATATAAATATAACTACCTAAGATATTTTATACCAGCATATGATTTTGTGTAGGGAATATTATGAAGATTATTTCTGTAAAAAATATTTGCCTTCAACAATCATTTTGTTTATAATAATTAATCTCATACTTTAAGCAAAATTTAGGCAAAACTTTCGACCGGGTATTTTTGCTGAAAATATTTAACGAAAGAATCCCTCTCTGTATGAGTGATCTATTTTTAGTCAAGGTCACTGTATATCAAAACATTACATCAGTCAGATGTTTATATTTGTGTTGGGAAGGGAGGGAAAACAGGTGTTGCGTTGACACAACGTCAGCAGGAAATGGGTAGTGAATCTCCTTTTTCACTCATTCCTTTCGATGTTCTGGTTCATGTTCTGGTTGTTTCAAAATGCCTAAAACAAGGTATCTTACATTAGAAGAAGCCCTTCAAAGATTTTTTGATAAAGAAACAGATGAAGATAATGGTTATAATGACCAGAATGAAACTGATATTGTTGTTGTTTCCCAGAAATTGCAGAGGCTAGTGACGAAGCAGAATAGAATGGCAATATTTTAAACAATGATAATAATATTTTACCAAATGATACTGCTGGGGAAGTTGAAATTCACGTAAGAAGTAAGTTTCAGCCTTCTAAAAGCAGTTATAGTCATATTAAAAAGTTTAAAAAGCAGAAGACTGAAATCTTGAAGTGGATAAAAAAACGAACTGTTAGTTATGTCTTCTCAGGAAGAATATGAAGAAAGAGATAGAAGAGAAATTATAAAAGATAAAACACAAGGTAAAACTAGTGCACAGATTTTCGATTTTCTTTTTAATTTAGACATTTACTTACTTCTCGTTGAACAGACAAATATATACGCTCAGAAAAAAAAAAAAAAAAAAAAAAAAAAAAAGCCCAGAATTTATTGCATCTGAAGCCTATATGAGAAGATTACTGGAATATTATTGCTTACAGGATATCATTCTTTACCTCAAGAAAAAATGTATTGGTCTTTTGATAAGGACATTTCTGTTCCTGTTGTACGAGAATTGATATCACATTTGCAGTACAGGAATATGAAGCAGAATTTGCATTTGACAGTAGCCAAATTGACAATACTGATAAATTATATGAGGTGAGACCGTATCTAAACTTACTAAATATCACCACTTTTTACTACTGGAAATATAAAGTCTCTTTGAGATTTCAGAAGAGAGAATGCATTATTCCTTTTGCAAACTCTTATTGAGAGTACAGAATTAGCCAGAAATAGATCAGCAACAGGAAGACCTAGTAAATTCAGCATTCAAAAACCATTGCATGGAGATGGTAGACATTTTATCAAAAAGTCCGTTGATAACAAAAGACTTTGTTGAAAAGAGTACTGTAGTCAGACTGTATATAGATGCAAAGTATGTAATGTAGCTTTACATCATGATTGTAATCAAGCTTTTCGTGTTTGAATCTTTCAAATGAAATAATCTGTATTTGTAAAAGAAATACAATGTATATTTTAATATTAAATTAATTACAAGTAAAGTGATTTGTAGATTTATAAAACGTTATACAGCTAAAAAGTAATCCTGCGCTCCTCTCAAAAGAAACATCACACGAGTATAATCCTACTCACTAAACATCCATAGTCTTTTTCCGCTGACGTTGCGCGAACGCAACACTCGCATTTTCCACAGGTAAGAGCATTTTTTTATTTTAAATGTAAATTTATGTTATAAATTCTTAATTTAATATTTGTTATTATTTTCATGAGAAAAGAAACATTCCTTGTAGCTTTGGCAGTTAATGGGTTAATAAATTATATTCATTTTTTTTAATTGGGCTGTCATAAGAAGATTATAGTATTACAACAGTACAAAGACACATGTATCATACATAATTTTTACATACATCAATAAATGTTTTTAAAAATTAAATTTTTACTTTATTCCCATAAGATAACACCCACAGTTTTCCCCCTTGTTGAATGACCAATAGTCCTAGATTCCTGTTCACAAAATATGGTAACTCAGGGTATAAGTGCCCACTTCTGCATAAGACTAAAATTATATCTGGAACTGAATTAACATCTTAGGGAGATTTTGCTGTTTAGATTTAATATTTCAAAGTTTATCATGATGAAGACAAAGATATTCAAATGTATCTACATTTTGTAGATTCTATTATAATATGAATGTATGTTACTGAACTTAAAAATGCAATTAACAAGGAAAAACATTAATTAACTATGGGTGTGTGGTGTCAAAAATCATTGCATAACAATGGTTATTTAGTAGAATTATTAATATCTGAATATGTAGAATAATCAAAATTTGTTATAGGTTAACCCTTTGACGTGTGCAATATTATTTTTATAATTTTTTTAACTAAAAACTCTAGAAATTGAATATTATGATCGTAGTGACAAATAATATATGAATTCAAAAAAACCTACTCTTGCCCATTGTTCTGTGGGCGGTGGTCGCACTGTGAAACCACCGTGCATCTAGGACTTTGAAACTTACCGAGGTAAGTAGGGAAAAAAAACTTACCTTTCTCCGTGCGCGTTTCCAATAAATGACAAAATTTACAAGTTTAAAACAAAATGCATGTAGGAATTGCATAATATATAATATATATTTATTTTACAAGGTAAATAATCAGAAAAAAATAAAAAATAAACATTTATGTAATTTTTCTATAGCAGTAAAAGTACCTATATAATAAGGGCGTTTGGCTACATGGATTAAAAAACTCAGTAAAATAAAGATTAAAAAAAAAAGACTCAGTGTTTTTTTTAATTTCAAAAAACAAATATTTTTTGTGACACTGTTCAAAGCATGGTTTGTCTTTTTGGTACATGCATGCCCATATTGCACGTTTCGCCACATGTATCTTCTTCTATGAGGTTTCTGCCTTGTACTACAAAATGTACACTGATTGGATCTAAATTTCACTGGTATATGTCCAGCGTTACTTAGTTTGTTTTCATCTGGCACATGAAATTTGTGGTTTTTTAATGTTAATGAGGAGGGGCTTGGCCTTTTTGGCTTTGATATGGATCCTATTCATTTCCATTACGTACTTTGTTTTATTCGTATTTCGTCCCAAAAATATTCATAAGATATTTTTAAATTTAAATAAAACTTTTATGTGATTTCTATTTTTAATTACAGCAAAGTATGCATTACATTATATTTAAACCATGCAGGAAATAATTTATAAAATTCACAATATTAGCATGGGAAGCAAGTGTGTTGAGGTCTGAGAAAAGTCTCTGGAAATGAAAGACATTTTTACTGGGCAAATGCATGTATTGTTTAGTAATAAAAAAACTCTGTGATTTCAAAGCCCCTTACCTATATCTGGGTAAAAATAAACAGTTCCTATTTGAGAAGCAAGCAAAGGCACCATTGTGACGAGCAGTGGTTTCAAGGCGCGATAACCACCTGAGCCTCTAGCGCATTGTGACACAATGCACCAGTGGCTGCAGTGGTCGCATACCTGAAACCACAAAGCAAATGCCATACATATAAAAGTTTTTTTTATATATATGCAGTTTAATTATTGCTATTTTTTATTGTTTATGATAAAAATCATGATGTGCGATGAATAACTTTTGAAATTTAAAGTTGTTTATATTAATAAAAGGAAGTTATTTTGTCTTATTGAAAACGAATTTTAAAAGGCATCCGATTTGAAGTAGTAAGACCTAAAATATGTATGATTCTGCAGTCATTTTGTGTTATTTAGAGGTAAAAGATCAGTAATCAATTGATTTTCACTCAAAAATTTTGGAAGGAAGAGGAGAAAAAATTTCGAAAATTGGTGGTTTCAGGGCGCGACCACTGCGCGTCAAAGGGTTAAAGATTTAAACTTTTTTTACGCTTATTATAAAACAATTTCTTATGTATGATTATGTGGTAGATTTAAATATTCCCAAATATATTTGAAAGTACACTGGAGAATAAATTAAGCTAAGATAATTTTTATGTTTAGACATGCAACTGTTTTAAACTGCTCTATGTATAAATTATTGCTTTAATAGTGAGTTAAAGATACATAAATGCAAATGAATAAGAAGCGCTAATTGTTGCTTTTTTTGCAGTTCTTGTACTTGTATGTTTAAAAATAATAATAATGAATAATAAATAAATTAAAACTT